GAGCTATTTACTTTTATAGCAATGAGGAGATTTTATTCACTCAAACAGGAGAGGATTAAATAATTGCTAGAGGTTTTTAATCAGTCCTTCTGAACAGAAATATCAACTAAGAACGGGCATGTGCTCTGCATCCCTGAGAACAAACTACCGAAATAGCTGTTCAGCAGTTGTTACTGTGAGAAGGTTTTTGCTCAAAGCAAATTCAGATTTTGTTAGAGAGGATAACTAAATGCATAAAGACAATAAAAAGTTGTATATAGTCTAATTTGAGGTTCACTGATCATGGAAATTAATTAAATGCAGTACATTTCAGGTACGAGATCAAAGTCCTAGAAGGGGAGACACTCTGCATTATCTGCGATTAGAAGACAACCAGATTGTGTTTACACACCTGGCAGTTTGATACAGAGAATGGAGTTCTTCCAGCATTTTCTCCCTAACTCCCCATATTTATTTCTTTTGTAATTAGAAGACATTCTATTTAAAAACATGCTTGACAGAAGAGCTCTGTCGAGAGGGAGCAATTTGTACCTTTTTTTCAAAGTAACTGCAAGCTCTGCCTACAAATGTAAAACTTTTAAATGAACTTCACTTTTCTGCATAGACTCTGCTTTAGTTGTTTCAAGTCGGTATAAATCATAGCACTGTAGTGTTTTCAAATCCCAAGAAATTACAACACTACAATGAACTGACTGAGAAGTTATGGCAGCAGGGGAAGCTCTCTAATTCTTGAAGCTGGCAAAAGATATTTATTTGAACAGGGTGGGAACACAAACAGTTTTAGATTCAGCAGTGACTTATTTCTGCTCCTGAGAACCTACCTGCCTCTCATCATTGATCCCTGCTAAGCCTGGAGAAACACGTTAATTAGACAGCCCTAGTATTTAACACATGTAGGACTTGAACTAGGAATTCTTGTTCAAAAGCCACAAAGACTTCTCTAATCCTCTTCATTTCAAGTTACCATTCCCTTCTGAGGGAGCAGAGGAAAGGAAGGGGCAATATTTTGAGATTTTGTTATTGCTCTAAACATTCAGATGCACAGACAGTAGCTGGTGCTACTTAAGCCTTATTTTTAAACATTGACATCCAGTACTAAAGAAAATGAAAGCTGTAGAGAACGCTCCAACTTCAGAGATCTCATACTATACCGTGAATCGTGTCTGTCACCTGGAAACCAGAGTGCTCTAGGCACGATCGCATGGGCAAGCCTGCAGCAGAGAACACATGCATATACAACTAAAGTGGTACATTACCCCCAGAACACCCTTAACTCCACCCAACACAAATATATCCCCGTAAGAGGTGTTTGGTTTCTTTCAAGCCGTCTGCCAGCGCCAGGGATTTGTAGTTACTCCATGCTACAAACAGACATGGACACCAACAACCACAGAAGACGTTGATAATTACAGTTACACAGCAGTCTGCATTTTATTTAGTTAAAAAAATAATAAAAGGCAGCAAGGCAGGTATGGAAAAGGATTTGCCACAGAACAGTGGCAACCATTTATACTCATTCTGCGTCTGCTCACAAAGAAATGGAGAGACCAAAGAACGTTAGGTATATTGGTTTGTTTTTCCTCATTTCTGTGTAAGATTTTCTTTTAGCTCTTGCAAAGTAACAGTCCCAGTGAAACAGAGTTCAAGGTTCTTTTGACATGTGTAAGAGAATGGGAATCAGTCACCATTTTACTTTTTGATAGGTGAACTTCAAAGAAATCCACCTTAATTTGGGCTTTTCTTTTGTTGATGCTTAACATTATTGAGACTCTATTGGTATTTCTAGGAGGTGAGAATTTTTTTTTTTTTCTGAATTTAAGTAGAACCACTACAGTGATCTGTATATGAAACCCAATCTTGAGGTCTGAAATGGCATTGTGGAGAACGTTTTGCTTTAGCTGTTGCAACTGAATTTAGCCAACAGTTCAAGTCATTTTGCAATGAGGAAGTTGTATTTTCAATGCTCCTCTTTAAATTTAGCTACTCAGCTGGAGCAAGAATAAAAGAAGCAGGGTAAGACATTTCCCTTTTTCCAATGGGAGACATATCTGCATTGTGCCTCAAACACTTGAGTTTTAATGTGGTTAGTACTTTAACCTGTCACAAGCACAAATTCTTGTCTTAAAAAAAAGTTCTGCTCAAGGATATACTCAAGAGAAGTCCTTGATTTTTAAACATCCATGCCAGTGCAACCATTGGTAACAATGGCCAAGCTAGTTCCATTCATCTCCACCCAACTCCCCCCCAGACATTCATGCACACAAAGAAAACTGGCTTTAACATATCAGTTATGACAGAGGAAGGCACAAAGCCTTCCCTGCGTGGCAGCTTTAGCCAACTGGCATGGCTTATATTGGATGAGTTTCATGTACTGACATTTGTGTCTTCCAAGATTCATAATAAGCAAACTGGGGCTATTTTCAAACGGCTGAAAAGGTTCCTTTAAAAGGTGGCTCAAAGAAAATGGTGTCAGTATTATTTGTCCAAGTTAGTGTGGAGTACCTACTTGTCACTTCTACCCTGTTCAAAAATTTTACTTTAATTGGTCAGCTGTATCTGTATCAATTTGGTGCAGATGGCTACAGATCTGCAATACTCACAGGGACAATAAGAGGAGCTGATATCATTGTTTTGTGCTCCAATTGCAACAGAAAACAAGATGGGCAGGTGTTAAAACATACAGTGACTCAAAAAGTAAGTGGTAGCTACTAATATCCAGTGTCAGTAAAAGACAAGCCAGTGAGAATTAAGTCTTGATTTTAGCATTAAGGTCTCAAAACTCAACTTAAGTGGTGTCCCTTAATTTCTACAGGGCTTTAAACTCAAGTGATATCATTAAAAAAGTTAAAGATCACTCCCTCATAACAAGAGGCTTGTCGTAAGATTCTGCCTAAGCCACGCTGAAATACAAAAGAATCTGAAGTCAGGTTTTCAAAATACCCCAATAAAACAGTTTGCTTATATTTTAACTCGCATTTAAGGTACAAGGGCTGGAAGAGACAAATGTTTGTTGACAAAAATTGTGAACCTCAATGCAATCTGAAAGTTTTACCTTGGGACTTTTTCTGCTTACTTAACCTTTAGTGAACTGCACCAACAAAAGCAGTCATTTCACTGCCACTACGGAAATAAAGGAAGTTAGACATCTCAAAAGATCCTTTAACACCAAGAGCAGAAAGGTTAGAAAGTTATGAACACACTTTCAATTTTCAAACCAAATTAGTTCCCTGATTTTAGAGCCCCCAATTTTGTTGATTTCTTCAGCAAATAGGGGCACAGAAAAGACAAGTTAAGAAAAACCCTGAGGGAAGAGAAGGGCAACCAAACACTAGAGTCTACTTTTCCTTTATAAAAGAAAAAAGGGTGATGGGGGGGAACGCTATGTTTCTTCACACCTCTTGGGCAACACAAGTTCTATCACTACATTAAGTTTTATAGCCCATGTTCCTACTGAAGACTTCTACATATCGAGTCAGTACTGCATTAAAGCCATTAATAGTTATGAAAAAAAATGGTATCACCAATCCTAGTCACTTCAGAAACAATTTCTCCAAGTTTTTGTTGTTGTTTTCCCCCCCTCTCCCCCCCACTTTATTTTTGGTTTCTCTTGAGCCAAAGTACAGATTATTTAAACTGGAATTAATCCACTTTTACACACTTTTTGTTTAACTTTCCCAACACACATACAGTGGTGTAGGCAAATGCTCCATGCTATTTCAAATCACTGCAATCTTTTACATTATTTCTGGAAAGTCTGCATCTCACATTACATAAAAACACTTGAAAGCCAGTTAAGTGACAGTGTCTAATGAGATTTTTGATAGTCAGCTTGGTCAAAGCAGAGGATGCAGGAAGAATGGACCAAAATTTCCACAACAGTCAATCTCCTGCAGATATTGGATCAGTTTTTTTAAAGCAAGTAACTATTAGAAAATATCACAACAAGTAATGAAGCCAGACCCTCTATGTCAAATAGAAACTACTGTCAACATCCAAATGTAATTTCATGAAGCTGCCATTTTTCATAAGGCTGAACACTTATGGTGATTTACTGCAGTGTAATCAAATGCCCAGCAGAGATGGATAAGACAAGATCTGCCATATAGTCCTACAGTAATAGTCTGTAAGCTTTAGAAGAGATCATCTCCACAAGATTATTCTACAGTTTCAAACAGATTTGCCAACCACTTCTCTTAAGGTTTGACAAATTTAAATGGTGTTTGCATTTTACTGGCAAAAAAAAAAAAAAGAATAGCACAAGAGTTTGATAAACATCTTGTTAAGCTTTTATGCCAGCTATGGGGCACATCAAACACTTGGGAAAATGTATTTTGGAATGAGATGGCTATATGGTATTGATGTTTGTGCATCATTTTTATTAAAACACTATAGATCAAGTCTTCCCAGAGCACAGTTACCCACAAGGTCTCTAATAAAATGCTTGAGCATTGTGTCAGTTAAGTTTGACAAAAACTTTAATCTCAGTTGTAAGCCCTACTAAGGTTGAAATTAAATGGTTTAGTCCTCTGCAGTCTTGCTAGTTATGCCAGTCCTACATCACTGTACAGAAGCAGATTTTAATAACATTTCTAGAACACCACAGTCCAAACTTAACACCATATACAAAGCATTACTGATCAAACGGACAGCAAATGAGTCTTCAGCTGATAGACGCCAGCAGGATCTGCGTAGAAAGGAGCGTAAGTTCTAGACAATAACAAACTATAAAGAGCACTGCCTTAAGCTAACCATCTACCCCACAGCCACTAAAACACATTCCCAAGTGGATAACACAGCAGTGTGTCACAGATGAAGATCTCCAAACACAATTCAGTCAAGCTACAGAAGCCCTCCCTCTCCCAAAGCACTCCATGTACTCACCATCTGCAGGATTGCACCATATAAGCGCAGCAGAACTTTCCGTGGTTCATCTGCAACTGTCTCAATGGAATCAGGTAGCGAGCACTGAAACAGCATGTTGCTGAGGCCACCTCTACAAAGAGAAGGGTATGGATTATTTGCTAATTTGGATGAGTGTTCCCTTGCTATGAACTGGAGACGCACTAATACACCTTTTGCTACGGCCGTCTGATCTACTGATCGCAATCTGATCAGGTAAGGCACAAACTGGGGAGATCTGCATGTCAGCCACTCAGGGGTTACATACAAGTATGCTGACTTCATGTAATCAGGAAAAGTGACAGCACCTGTGTTTTACAGCTTTACAAGCCAGATACCAGATGAAAGCAGTCCTTCCTAGTTTCTGGTAGTCAAACTTCAAGAACAGCTTACTAAATCTGTGTTTTCCTTACCAAATTGTCTTTCTGCTTTAATTTCATTGCCCTCAGTATGTTCGTTAACAAAAAATTTCTGCAACATCACAGTATATTTTGAGTTGGAAAGGACCCACATTACTACTTCCTCTTGCAGCAGACAAAAAAGCCCTGAAACTTCTGGTTTACTGCCAGAATAGAAATGCAAATCACACCTACAAAAAAAAAAAAAAAGCCTTGTATATCTCATCATTCACAACACTTTCCAAAAACAGATACAATCCAAAAGTAGTAGCTAACAGAAAAGGGATGAGGAAGCAAAGATGTAAAAGCTTTGTAATTTCTATGTGCAGCATGCTACTTCATCACCTTTCTGAAGTAACTCCAGTACCTAAATAGAAGTACTTGCATTGTAGTTTGCAGCACCACCGCAATGCTGTTCTCCTCATCACCCAAAGCACTGAAGTACAGGCATTCAGTGACACCCCACAGTGAGCTCTGATTCCAGGAATCCGGGCAGATCCAAAATCACAGTTGTTAGTCCCAGTCTGATACTCACCTTAATGCTTTTTTAAATAATTATTTGGGTTCTCTTACAATTCCTCTGGGAAATCAGAAAGACTTTTCGGAGAGCCACCAAGAAAGTGGATGATTTGGTATGTATCTACTGGGAGGTGACTGACAGAAGAGGGGCTGGACTACAGACCGAGAGCCAATGATTGAGAAGAAAAAAACCTGAGCAAATAGGGTAAATCAGCAGCTGCACAATGCGCTCGAGAAAGCAGACAGAAGAGAACCAGGTGGCTTGGCAGGCATTCAGAAAGGGACGTTTAGGGAAATCATACGAAGTAAGTGAGCCACGGGGGTGAACAGGTAGGAAAACCAGACAGATGGAAAGGGTATCAAATGAAGATCAGAACCCAACCACTCAGATGTGATCATAATGTTGATTAGTTATACCAACTACATTTCTGGTTTCACTGAAACCGTGCTAGACAGTTTTCTGAAAGATTTTCTGGACCCTGAATGAAAATACTGGTATTTAAATAGGAGAAATAAACACAGAGAAACTTAGTTCATAAAACCTATTGGAGAAGAACTAAGCAAATCCAGTCTCATCACTCTTGTCACTTAAACATACTCTGCCTGCATACAGTGCATTGAAGTCCAGAAATCCCTCTCTTGGACCCCCTCCAGACAAACAAGAACAGCAAACGCTCAGGCTGAACTCCGTTCAATGGAGATCTCATTAGTTTTACACACTCCAGAACTTAAAAGTTACCTATAATCAAGGAAACTAAAATGAGGGTAATAAAAGGTAGCCTACTTCAAATTACCAAAGGGTAAGCCCATCCAACCACCTATTTGCAAAGCCATCCATAACTTCCCAGAATCACAGCAGTTAGGTGTGCCCGTACCTGCGTTCTGACTGACTGTGAGTCTCTCTCTGCTCTCAAAGAAAGCACGGGCCAAAACACCACCAATTCCCACAGTTTCACCCATTCTGAAATGTCAGCCCGTCCTCAGTTCCTCCCAGCCAGAAAACACCAAGCGACTTTTCAAGTGCATCTCAGATTCCAAGAAATACCAGAATAACTGTGCTAAACCCTCGGGCTTTAGAAATTAAGTGCTTACAGCCAGCAGCGCACACTAACAAGGATGAAAGCAGAATCAAGCAATGGGGATTACAGAGACACCAGTCTAGGCTGTCCTTAAGGGACAGTATCAGTTTTCTTGAGATTTTCTCCCTTTGTTAACTCATTATGACCGCTGCCAAGCGAGAACTAAAAGCACACGGGCCTTCTGTGCCAGATTTCAATCCATTACTTGATTTTAAATTCATTTAATGATATAAGCCAACCACACTCACTTTATATAGCAGAGACTATCACAACTTTTCAAATACGATGGAGAGCAGCTTGGCAACTTCGTCCACCAGTTCCCTCAGAACCGGTGCACAGATCCCACCGGGTCCCACCTTCAGGTTCTTTATGTGGTCAGCTGATATTTGTCAACTGTTCATACTTTATTATTGCTAACTAGGGGTATTTACACGTATTTTTTGTGTTAAAAAAAAAAAACAAAAAAACACAAAACAATCCCATAAGCATTAGGAAGGCAAAACCAGGAATTACAGGCAGTGCTGTCCTGCGTGACCACTGCGGGTCCGGCAGAACGATGGAGCACCGGGACACCGACCGAGGTGTCTCACTCACTCACACACACACACACACACACACACACACACACACACACACACACACACCTTAATTCGCAGGGATCTCCCACGCCGCTCGGAGGACCCACCCCCCCCCACCCCGTTTCCATCCCAGCCGCCCGAACCTCCCCAGCTGTCATCGCGCTGAGTCACCAGCGCCCATCGCAACGGGGCTGGAAGGAGCCACGTCCCACCGCCCCCCCGCGCGGATACGGGCACGGGCCCGAGCGCCCTCCGCCCGCCCCTCGCAGCGGGGTTCGGAAGGAAGGTAAAGAAAAAGCAAAAAACGAGGAGGGCAGGGAAAGAAGCAGCGAGCAGAAGCGGCGGCGCGCGGTCCCCCGGGAGGCGGCCCCGCCCCTCCGCCCGCACTGACCTGATGGGGCTGATGCGGAGCTGCTCCTCCCGCAGCCCCCGCCAGGCCCCCGGCAGGAACTCCTTGCACCACAGATAGGCCCTGCGCCGCGTGCGGGGGTCGAGCGGCGGCTCCTCCTCGGGCGGCGGCGGCGGCGCGGGGGAGGCCGGGCTCACGGCACCGCCGCCTCTGCCCGCCGCCGCGGGGTCCTTCCCCTCGGGGCCGCCGTGGGAGAGCGGCGAGGGGGGCTGCCCGGCGGCGGGGAGGACGACGCCGCCCCCGCCGGAGCCGGGACCGCAGCCCAGGAGGAGCCCGAGAGGAGAGGGGTCGGCCTCGCCGTTACAGAACTTGGTCTTCATGGCGGGAGGGGGCGGCGGCGGGGAAGGGACGTTGGGGCGGACGCGCGCGGCGGCTCTCGCGCTGCCCTCTATTTCTCTTCGCGGCTCTCTTCCGCCGCCACCGCCGACCGTGAATGAGCCGCGCGCCCCCGCCCGGCCCCCATTTTATAGGCAGAGCGGCACGCGGGCCCGCTCATCTCACGCTTTTTCCCCCCGCTCCGATTGGCTCTCGGGTCTCAGCTCCTGCCCAGAGCGAGGCTGGGGGGCAGGGCCGCGGAACGGGCGCGCGCCTCCTGCCGGCTTCCGGAGCGCGCGCCGATTGGTGCTCGCTCACCCGGGAGAAAGAAGGGGCGGGCGCGGGGCGCGCTGATTGGCCGCTCCTCTGTCGCCCTGGTAACCGGCGCGCGCAGCTCAGGGCGGGTGGGGGGGGGGTCAGCGCAAGGTGACCCCGCCCACCTCCCCTCTTCCCTTACGGACCCTCGGCGATAGCGGCCCGCTGCCTCCCGAGGAGTTCGTAACGGGCCGTAGGCGGGGGGCTGCGGAGGTCCGAGGAGGTGAGCGCTACCGGCGGACCGAGGTGCCTGCCGTGACTTTCCGTCTGCGCCGTACGATTACGGTCACCGAGAGCGTTCGTTCGGCGGTCTGCTTTGGGCCGGCCGGGTCAGCTGCCGCGTGTGAGCTCGGCTCGGCAGAAAGAAAGCGCACCGCGCCGGGACTGAAGGCGAACGGCAGGAAGGCAGCGCGTCCGCCCCCGCGCCGCTGCCCGCCAGCTGCTGGGGCGGAGCGGGTGGGAAAGGGCCGGTGGGTAACCGCGCCGGAAAGCCCCGCGGAGCCCGGGGGGTTACCGAGAAGCTGAGAGTTGGCTTCGGAACTTCGCGCTCGCGCGGCGGCCTCGGCACCACCGAAGCGACCGCGGCTGAGCGGCGGCAGAACCCGGGCGTGGGTTAGGGACGCCGCGGCGGAACGGAAGCCGGACAGATGCCCCCTTCTCCCCTCTGCGCCTCAGCTTTTCGTTTAGAACGTAAAATCCCCGGGTCGGAGCGCGGATTGGGATGCTGGACGCGGCCAGGCAGAGCTGCGGACAAACGTTCTCTTCGCAGATCCCTGCCGGAGCAGCCGATGCCATTGCTGAGGTTCCAGCTGCAGCTCACCGGTGCGGTCTCCGCAGGCAGGCAGTGAAAACACCAGAACTACTTTTACCTCCCACCGTGGCCGGCCTTTCTATTTCCAAGTGCTTGACCTTCACGCGACATGCTCACAGCACGAGTAACGGGACATTAATTAGAAAACAAAGCTTCCAAACCCATAGAAGTTATTTGTAATCTTCTAGATTGCTCCTGGTGTGAACAGCAGAAAAACCAGACACTGGGAGAGAGAATCCTGTCCCCTCGATATTGGCCACCTCACTGACACTTCTTACCAACACACGAGCTCTGCTTTAATTTACACAGTTTATTACAAAGCCTCAGAGAACTTGGAAGCAGATAGAAAAATGTTTGTTTTATATCTTTTTGCTTCCAACACGCTCACCTTTTCTTAATGTCAGTCTAACTTAAGCTCCAGTCCTGTAACGACTTCTGTTTTGATAAGTATCTGGATGCAAATTAACTCTGTATGCTTATTTCCTACAGGAAATGGCTAAGGCAGTTTGCATCATTTAGTTACATCATCTAGCATTTTAACACTATTAGTAATTAGTAACTCATTGTAATTTATTGTTGAGTTTACAGAAAGGGCGTAACTCACTTGAAAAACGTTCAAAATGTTTTACAACAAACAACATCTATCTTCTGGGGAGCCACAAGTGTGTACAATGTGATAAAGGCAGAGAACAAAGCAGCAGAGGAACACGTGATAGAAATGAAGGTGAGTCATATTGAGGGCTTGCAGACCTAGTTCATCTAAAGTCACAGCAACACGTTACTTGCCCAAAGCACCTTTGTTACACTATTCCCAGAAAGTAAGTGTTGGGTAAGGAAGGAATTCATTATTGGCAAGATGACTTTCAAGATTAAGTGGTGGGTGAAGATTCTTTCATGTTGCCAGATGCCTGGTTTGAATGGGCAGGAAGCCTTGTGACAGCAGTGGCGTGAGCTTGGTCTTATTCAAAACCTAAGCAGCAATGCCAAAGATGAATGATCTGAACGCACGGTGCAAAACTGAGTGCACTACATAGAAACACCAGCACTGGTTTCACTAAATGTGAAATCTCTCCCTCTCAAACTAATTAGCTTTCTGCTCCTAGCCAAGATCTCCTGGTTTGGCTTAAAGCACATAGAAGAATCAATGTATGATAAACTGATACTGCTGTTCTCCACGCTATGGATTTTAACCAGTGAATAAACAGAGGAAGGTTCCCATTCTAGAGCTACTAAGGTAGTAATTTTCACAAGTTTTACATCCGCATTCAGATGAAACAAAATAAAATAAACCTCTTCCTGCTACTCGTATACGTGGTTTTTCTTCTGCTCCTAAGAATCTACTACGCTTAAATATTGCATGTAGTCAAATGAACAAAACTGAGGCTTCTGTTAAGATCAGAATATACTGAAAAAGGCATCAGAAGAAAAATATTCAAGGAAAGGAATTAAGCACAAACACTCCCAAACTGGACAGTTATGAACACTGGAATCAGACTTGAGAAACTTGATTACATCCTCAGCAGCAACTGATCCCTGTTTCCATTTCTTGTGCACCAGAAGCACCTTGTTAAGTAACAGTGCAATATCCTACCCACTGGATTAGTCAATCAGCCTGCCATCTTAAGTATTGGGAAAAGGCAAATGCATCTTCATGTTCCTGATGTCAGCTTTTGTACCATAGCAACCCAGCTGCATTAGCACACTTTTTTTTTTTTTGGTATATAGCAAACATAGGTTCCGTATCTGTGTTCTATTTTTGATTCCATCTAATAGTTTCATCAACAGTAGCACCTAATAAATGAGACTCATTAAAAGAATATTTCTTTAGCTGCCCGCATCCCCTGGATACATGAGCTTTAAAGCAGAGGAAGTAATGGTGAGATAAGAGTGAGGGCACAGACAAAACACCGAGTGACTAATTATGCTGTAAATAAGGAACGTTCTGAACTAAGATTCCCTGGGGTGAGCAGAGGCTTAAGAGTTTGCATGACCTTGGCTATCAGCATGGAGGTAGAGAGCTACCCATCACAGTAGTGTCACACCTTCCTCTGTAATTTACTTTTCCCTCAGCTCTCATACCATGACCACACAGGTTATTCCCCAGTGGCTTAACAGAACGTAGTGATCAGTGCATCCACTATGTCCTTTGCAGCAACAGAAGCACTTTTTCAACAAGTCTGGATGGAAATATCTACTCTTCAATGGTTATGGATGCAGTCAAGCAAATACTCAATCAGGAGAGGGCAGAAGTCTTTTTTCTTTCTTTGACAGTATAAGATGAAACATTTGTTTTTATTAATTTGTGTGATTTACTAAAGCTTTGTAGAGTTGTTTTTTTTCCCCTTACTTTTCTGTAATACTTGTAGATCTGCAGCAAAGAGAACTGCAGTTGGATTGACACATGATTTTATTCACTCCAATTGCATTAGTGCGGCAGAAATTGCTTATTGCTCACAAAAGAGCTAAGTCTAGAATTCTGACTCATAAACACTTAATTTTCTTTCCCAAGTCTTTCTCATTATTATACCAACAAGCATGAGATTTTACTGGCAAGATCAAATGCCAGCTAAACCCAGATCTGCCACACGACACGAAGAGAATGACAGACACCTGTGCAGAAGGATGCAGACACTTCTATCAGCTGAAAAGCTTGCAGACATCTTAGCAGTTGTTGATAAGCATTCTTTACGTACCAGGAACAGGTTGCTGTTGAGATTGTGAATTCCATTTCTGAAACTGGGCTGAGGCTGGAGGCTTTGGGACAGGAGCTGTGCAGTCATTGCAAGAGTGAGTGAGAGTTCAGGGCTGTCTCTGTGTCCCTCAGGCTCTCGGCTCACCTCCACACAGTAGCTCTCTTTTGCCTTAGCAAAACGCTCTCAGTCTAGTTCTGTGTCCAAGCTGCACTTAGCACAGAGCCTGCTTTCACTTTTCAATTCCCCGCTTCTATGTCTGAGAAGCCCCTTGCTGAATTTTAAACAAATAGTAAGGCTGCTGTTTCTTACTCCTTGCATCAGCAGCCAAAAGCGGCACTCTGAAAGCCAGAGTTTGTGAGGGTCTGAAGATGTGTAAGTCACCTCAGCAAGATGCAACTGCAGAAGAGACTACACTGCTGTCCCATCTTCCTCTTCTCAGTGACAGCAATGGGCTCTTGGAGGATAGCATTCCTCCAGGTTCATGTTATCAGCAATGATACAACATGCTAAAACAGACACTGAGTAGCCCAGGCAGAGCAGAGTATTTCACCCAAAGAATTTGGTATAACATCTATGCTTTGACTCGAAGAGAGAAAATTTTGGGACTAGATTTGAGGTGATCCATGGACAGGTTGCTTCAGTTTCCTTCTGTGTTTGCTTAGTTTCCAGCTCAAAATGCAAGCTAAACCTGAGGTGCAACTTTGGACCTGAAGTACATCTGATGGAGCACCCAAGGGGCTAAAGATTAAGATTTACTCTAGGAATTGTCTCAGCATAAACGTATCTCACTAACGTAAGGGAAGTGTTACACCAGAAAGCAGCCTTCCTAAGAAGATAATATGTTCATTCATTTGCTGTGTTGGTCTAAGATAACCACAAAGACCTAGAGCTTCTACAGTGCCAGGTACTCCAGGCAGTGTGAAAAGATAACATTACCTGGCTCAGGTTCCAGAAAATGACTTTTCCTGGAGTCACACTGACCAAACCTTTACTATAATAGAGGTTACTTAATTACTTACTCCACACCAATTTCATCTCATTGAAGAAACTTAGCTGAGGAAGTTTCTCAGGAACCCAAAGGTTTCAACAATACAGTAGGAATTAACCAAGTGTTTTCTTATTTCTTTAAAATCAAAAAACAAAAAGCAGCTTTAAATCTTCTGGTAGTGCAGGGCACTATGTACAGCCACAACTTCAGGCCTATGCTTAAAAAAGAAAACACTGCAGCAGCTGGTTCCTACCTGCATGGAATTAGCTCTCTATCTCCCATAGGCTGCAGGAGGGGTGTGCAGCATGCAGAGGCATGGGGGGACTGCCCAACGTAGGCACGTGTCCTGCACGAGGGCTGCCCAAGTTAGGACTTGTTCTCCTGACAGCAAGTGGATCAGCATGGGGCAGATACGATGGGGTAGCTAGGGAGAAAAGAAAAACAACATAGAATTAAGCACTGTGCATGCTATAATGGTCTTTGGCAAAAGACTGCAGAGCATAACAAAGGACAAAGACAGCAATGCACTGTAGCAGTGCATTGGGCACTGTCACTGCATGTGTTAGCTGCTCAGGCCACGGGGAACCTGAGCATTCACTGAACACATCCACAGACAGAGCAGGTGCAAAGCCAATTAAAGGACTTCCTTCTCATGTTCCTGTCACTGCCATTAACATGGTAGTAAATGCACTATATTTAGATGCCATACAAAAAGATCCAAGAACAGACATCAGCACAGTGCTGTATTCATGAATAGCAGCCAGCAGGAAAATAAAAGCGTGCATGTGTTCCTATGAAATTTCAAATCTATTTTTGGCCCAAACCAGGAGGTAGGTCACAAACTAATCCAAAAATGACTTAGACTTCTAAATGATCATTTTTCCCTTCTCTTTTGCTCATTATGCAACAAATTGCTATGCTAGGTATGCATAGCAATGGACTAACACCAAGCTGAAATAACTGATTTGTGACAGAACTTGCAGTTCCAGTACCGCTGGTTATTCAAGCGTGCTGCAGTTTTTTCCGGTGTTGGGTTTTAAAATAGGTGGATTCCAGATATGGATCCTGGACAGTACAGTTTTTACTTGGGCGCTGTTTAAGTAGATGTAATGGCATAGTTTTACAGCACCCTTACACAGTTTATCACTTAAGCCAAAGCATGGTTTCTAGCTGGCTATTTCCAGGGGGCTGTCAGAGCTCTTTTATCCACAGTGGCCACGACTGGGTAAGAAGGCAGGAGAGCAAGGTGTCTGCATCTCCTGGGAGCCAACCCAGCAATAGGGTCACCCTTGGCAGAGCCACAGGCAAGACACACAATCCAGGCAATATAGCTTTAGCAATTCGTGTCACACAGACACATTTATTCCTCCCTGGTGATAACAACGAGCAGCCTGAGGTTAACGAAAGGTCATTAAGTCAGAAAATGTTTCCAAACATGCAACAGCATGATTATTCAGGGAGCTGCCTGCCAACCAAGTGATCACTGGACTTCAGCATACACGTGCTGAAGAGCAGAGTAAGTAAATACTGGAGTAGCAGTGCAGAGGCATTAAAACATTTTGGGTTGTGTTCTCAGTGAGAGAGCAGCTGACTGGCTTGCAAGTGTTTTAGCCTCAAACCTCCAGAACAGTAGGTCTCATCTGTTTTACACAGATGCTGGGGATTTTCTAGGCTGTCTGAAGAGTTTTAACTCATCTTTTCCACTTATAGAGCAAATGCATCCCTCTAAACCTCCAAGATCAGATGGCATTTGTAAAGTCAGTTCTCCGTCCTACAGTCTTTGACTATCAACATCTGCTTATTGTACAGTCCGCAGATTTTTCAATCTTCTTTTTCACTGACATATTGATATAAAATAAGGGGAGCAGACTTTTATATGAAACTGCATACCAGACAAATGGGCTTCATTCAGAACCCATCACTGAGAACATCAGGTAGGTAGGGGTAACTGCACACATCACCACAGCGAAGCAGAATACACCTACACCTGGACTCAGAACTAACCACACTGCTAATTGTTACTGGAATCACCTTGCACACTACAGAGCCTTTAGCTGTGGCATTTTATAATTAACTCATTTTATCCTACTCTGTTTACATTTTGACCCAGGACAAAAGCAAAATTACACACGACAATTAGGAAACTGTCATTAAATAATTGACACAAATTAACATCTTCCCCCCCCAAAAAAACAGAACAAACCCTCTGCCAGTTTAACTGGAGTGTGTTGTACTCCATTACAGATATTTGATAGTTTTATGAATTAAATATGATATGATGTTGAGAATTTCTCCTTTCCACTCTGATGAGAATTTGTACCAACTGAATTTACGGAGCTGCCTTGTTATGTATTAACCAGTTGTCTGGGAATCCTATTGAGTAACAGAGCAGTTGTTGCAACACCAAGACTCCCATATAAATCATGCCTGAGTCTTAAGCAAATATTGGTTCACAGGAGAGATATGACTGCAGTTTAAGAGGTTACAGGTGCAGACTGAACTACTTCAGAGAGAACCACTCCCTCCATGCCCATGTGAGATTCACATCAAAGTGCTCACGTCAGTTTGAATCCAGGGGAACAGAGTATTTTTCCTTCACTTTTGAAACTGTTTTTGATGCT